CCACCATATAAAAGTGTGCAAATGTATTTAGTATCCTATCCATGTGAACATGTTTTAGGTGGGGGTGGACCTAACCTCCTTTAGGAGGGTCTGGGGGCATGCTCCCCCGGGAGGATTATTTTTAAAATATTGAAGTTAAATGCATCAATCTGGTGCACTTTGAGAGCAACATGAAGAGATCTATGGATACATCTCTCAGCATCCATATGAAACAGAACTGTAAACAGATTTACTTTTTCTTTATGGATATTTTACTAATCACTCCCCTTTTTAACTGTATTCTTGTGTTACTGTCCTATAGTATTTCATACCCGTTTTTCCTTTATTTTCTTATTCTTTAATAACTATAATGATCATATAAAGGTGTTCCTCGCAAATACTTGTTTAAATAAATGGTGACCAAACCGTTTGAGACCCACTGAGATAACCTACACTAAAGTTAACTATTGTTAACTGTGATCGTTATTCTCGCGTCCAGGAAAGAGAAGCTTAAAAATGAGACTAAATGGAGTCTCTGGAGGTTCAAATTTGGTACTTTAATTAATAAAAAAAGCCGCAGTAAAGTCACAAACAGGATATTGTTCAGTCAGGAGAGAAAGACTGCAGCTTCCTCTCCCAGGTGCCGGCCGTGCAGAAGAGAGCTTACAAGCATTCGTCCTTCCCGCTTGCTCGCTGTTCGCTCCTCCTTTCTGTGAGCTGTAGTGACGTAGGAGACTTCCCCCCCTCGTTCGTCTGTGTCCGATATCGCGTTAAACAGAGGATTTCGACATTTTACATTCATTGCTTACTTCCACATGCCTTTTCTCCTCCTTATCTCTTTCATAACTTTATATCATCGCTGCTACAACCCGTTGCTGCAGATACACGCTTTACAACATCAGGAAGATACGTCCCCAGCTGACACAGAAAGCGACGCAGGTTCTGGTCCAGGCTCTCGTCATCTCACGCCTAGACTACTGCAACTCCCTCCTGGCTGGTCTACCTGCATGTGCCATCTGACCTCTGCAGCTCACCCAGAATGCAGCGGCTCGTCTGGTCTTCAACCTTCCTACATTTTCCCACACCACTCCGCTCCTCCGCTCCCTTCACTGGCTTCCGGTAACTGCTAGAATCCACTTCAAGACACTGGTACTTGCTTACCATGCTGCCAATGGATCTGGCCCTTCGTACATCCAGGACATGGTTAAACCGTACACCCCAGCGCGTGCACTACGCTCTGCATCAGCCAAACGACTCGCTGCACCCTCGCTGCGAGGGGGACCCAAGTTCCCATCAGCAAAAACACGTGGGTTTGCTATCCTGGCTCCAAGATGGTGGAATGAGCTCCCCATTGACATCAGGACAGCTGATAGCTTGCACATCTTCCGGCGCAAACTGAAAACTCATCTCTTTCGACTCCACTTCGAGCGATAGATTTATTAACAAAGCACTTATATACTAATAAAGGACTGGCTTATCTAAAGCCAGTTGAGTAGCACTTGAAATGTTTGGCTCTATGAAACCTGATGTACTTATATGATTCTGTTTTCTTCAAGGTTGTGTCTTCCTGGTCGAATGTACTTATTGTAAGTCGCTTTGGATAAAAGCGTCAGCTAAATGCAATGTAATGTAATGTATATGTAATACATGTTAACGGCGTCAATAGCCACTTTAATGATACTAATGGGCGGTAGTCCCGGATGTCGTCATGAAGGATTTTCAGAATAAAAGCTTGGTATTGAGAACTTCCGGTTTTTTCCAGAATAAAATAGCATTTAAACTGACGGTATGTTTAAGGTACATTATGCCATAAAACATTGATTTTAATTTCTAACAGTCCCTCCTTACACACCTTTTTTTTATTTCTAACACTATCTAAACACTGAGAGAGTCCTTACCTCACTTAGCTGAGGTTATACGATCCTCTCAGTCTGACAGGAGAGGACTCTCTTCCACCTTGGTGTAGAAACAGCTCTTTATATCCGTTAGCTAGCTAACCAGATGCTAACAACAACATTCCACGTTACCACTTGCGCACTCACAAAATGCGCTCGTGCCACACACACACAGAGCCGAGCTTGAATGAAACACAGAGACCCAGAAGTAGGCTACTTGTACTGTACTGTATATCATATTATTTTCGATGGCTTTGCTGTATGATCAGTGTAACAGATGAACAGATTGCCACCGGGCTTTCATCTAAACACACAGCCACGTAATGATAACAAAACAAAGGTCGGGGGTCATTGGTCAAGCAACACACCAATCAGAGAGCAGCAGTGAGCACACCTCAGGCTGTGTTTTATATTTGTATTCTTTATTTCTGATGTATTTCACACAAAAAACCTTTAGTGGAAACGTTTTCACTTATATCATTAAAAAAAAAAACGGCAAAGTGGCAAGGCTTGCCCACCCTGCGTTGGGGGGGCACAGTGACTCATTTTGGGGGGCATGGCCCGCAAACGACCCCCCATGACGCCGACCCTGCTTGCTGCAGAGCCACTATTTCAAGTATACTACGTCATCGAGTGGCGCCGAATGCTGGGCATTTAACATGCATTTAAACAGTCCTTCAGCGCCACTCGATGACGTAGTATACTTGAAATACTGCAGCAGGTATACTCGACATTGAGAAACGGCCCGGGTTACTCACTCCAGCTTTGCAGCGTCCCTCCTCCATTCAGGAGCATGAGAGAGGCACATCTATCATCCCAGGAGGAGATAGGTTTCCTTTCAACAGAAATGCAGGCCCTGTTGCAAGAACGGTGGGTTACGTGTTGTAACCCTAGTTCTAGAGTGATGTGTGTGTGAAAAATGCATTCGGTAAAAACGATTGCATTCATCCCAGAGTAAGAGTCATCTTTCTCCACAATTCCACATGTCCCCATAATGTCTCGTTGAAATCGGTAAGATCCATTTCATATGATGTTAATTGGGCACTCATTATGAGACACGATTCCCCACTCGCGAGGGGTAAAGGCAGCCAGTGGGCGTGAGTGAGTGTGAGCGTGATTAACCGCAGGAAGTGCTGTGAAAGCGCTGTGCGGGAGCAGGGACAGGTTTGGCGGCGGAGTGGGTCGAGACTGAGACTGGGGTATTCACTCCAGTTTTGCAGCATCCCTCCTCCATTCAGGGGCTTAACCTGTTAAACCCGAGAGTACCCTAATCCTGGTCCGGCAGGTAGTTTTTTCACAAAACTGTGTCTCAGGGCTTCTTAATATTTAAGAACCTATTAATGTGTCACTCCCGATTAACGGGAAGAAACTCAGCTAACTGACAACACGAACCATTTTTACCAAAACAAAACACAAGTCTCATAAGAAGCGTCTAAATGACCCCTGAGCGAAAAAATGCTGACGCACTTAGCACAGAACTCAAGGTAAAAATACCCTTATTACTTATCGTAACTGCACATACAAGATATCAGATTAAGGCTGAGATTCCACAGATTATATAGGTATTAGTATCATCACTGAGCGATCAAAACTTGCTACTGGGGAAGCAAACACAGACACACATCGTAGCATTACGGAGCAAACACAGGAGATCGTCTCACCTTAGCTGTTATTCTGATCAAAAGTCGTGTTCAATGGCATTACAACGATACAAATGGTCCATAGGTTAATCCAATGTGTCTGTCACTTTGAAAAAAATATTGATAATCCATATTTCAATTTTTATGTAAAAATCTGAGATTTTATATTACACTGTAAAAAAATATTTTGGATTTTAGTTCCTTTAACTCATTTATGTGAGTCAGGTCACCTACATTTGACCAAAACGTTGAGACAACTAGAAACGTCAAGTTTTAATCCATTCAACTTGTCTGTGAAATTAAAATAGTACACTCAATTCAGAATGATTAGTTTGCTCAGCTTTTGCACATGCGCAGAATACTGCCCCTGCAAAATTGCGTGTGTCAACCCGTGCATCCAGCATCCTCCCTCATAGGCCGCAAGGTGAACCTCGAAAAGTCCTTTAGAAAAGAAATCCCGCTCCACAGAAGTGAAACTACACAATCTTTAGTTCATAAAAAAGAACGATTCATGCTTATCCACCAAAAAAAATTTCGTCGCTAAAATTCCTGCCAATTCTTCTAGGCACGTAATTATTGGCTGAACTATTCCCTTCGAAGCGTAATAATATCTTGGTCCAAAGTCGTGCCACGGTTCATCACGTGATCGTGCTACACCAATTGGGTAGCTGCATATTGTCAACAGAAGTGAAAGATGGCGGCCGCCATGGTTTCATCGAGTAGCGGAGACGAGGAAAACGCACCAGAAAGTCTCAAAAAGTCAAAATTGTCAACACACAAACATTGTTACATGCATATTACGTCTGTGAAGCACGAAAAGGTTGATTGTTTTACCAATACAAGATGGAATACGTACAGGACAAGCTTACAACGGTCGCTCGGCTTGAAGGGAGACTCTCGGAACGTGGTGGCTGAAAACCACAAGCACTGTCTTGATTTCGAGTTCGAAGATATTCCTGAGGACGCTGGCTTCCACCACACATGCTACATAAGGTTTACCGACACAAAGGCCATGACGAAGGTGGAAAGACGGCTCGCACGTGAGGGAGATCAAGACGTTAGGGAGGACCTTGAGGTCGAGCCCATCCCATCGACGTCTCGCAGCACGTACCGAAGCCAAACAGAGAAGCTACGATCAAGGTCAGGCCTGCCAATCGCAGGCTCTGGCCCCGTCCTTCCTGCCCTGTGCATTATATGCAAGATGAAGGAGAAAATGATCATCAAAGCAGGCAAGCGACAAAGGGATCAACTGTGTAAGGCTGAAACATTAAAAGCAGGTAAGCAAACCCCCTCCCCCACCCACACACCACACACACACTACACACACACCACACACACACACACACACACATATTCTCTGTGGTTGAATAACTGAAAGGTACAATTATGTGTGAGAGATACGTCAACAAACTCATTGAGTTGTCCTTTTTTTCCGTTTAGGCAAATTGCAGAAAGCTGCTGAGAAGAAAGATGACCAAAGTGTTCTTTTACATATAAAAGACAAAGACTGTGTGGCTCTGGAGGTGCGGTACCACAAAAGCTGTTACAGTCAGTACACCATGTTTTTGCTGAGACCTGACAAACCAGAGACAGAACAGTAAGTTATTTCTCCTTGGATTGCTTTACCTATTTGCACTACCACCAGACTGAAGTCCAGGTGTGTGTCCGCGATGGCTATATATATATATACACATACACATACTTAACATTATAAGTAAACATCCAATTTCCTTCTGTTATATGTGCACACAATCACAACACTTATTCATTTATCCATTTATTTACTTCTCATTCATGTGTTGTAGGGATGAGGCAATGTTTGATGCCAGTTACAAGCTGTTCTGTGAGAGGATCATCCGCCAGAGGCTGCTTGTCAACAATGAGGTGCTTAGAATGGGCCAGCTGAGGCAGGCCTTCATTGACATGGTGAAAGCAAACGAAGGTGTTGATGCTTCAAACTACAGGTAACTGCAATGTAATACAAGTCTTATTATTTATCATGTGCAAGGCCAGCTTTAAACAAAATGTGTATGACAGGCCTGTTTGGAGAAACCCCCATGATGTGTAGTGTGTAGTGTTGTTTGTGATGATGTGGGCCTTTATTTGGCTTCTTTGGTGTTAAATGTGCTGTATGGCAGATAGGTTCTAGTCTGTAATGTCTTGTATCACCTCCACCACTCTGCTTTTGATGGTACTCCTGTGACTCGTAATTGTCACTGTTTTGTTGTGTTACAGACAGGATCTGTTGAAGAAGAGGCTGGCTCAAGATTTCCCTCAGCTAGCGTTTCACATGCCCACCAAGCGCAACGTCTGCGAACTGGTTTTTGCTGAGACTCTGTCAAAGGATGCACTCGTGGACATGCTACCAGATCCATCCGGTACGGAAACAACACAGTCCAGTGAATTGAGCCAGACAGACAGCGACAATGAAACAGGGAGAACAAAGTGCCAAACAACACATGAGGACACAAGGACACTGTATACAGCAGCGTTGTTTTTGAAAAGACTGCTTAGTGACACTCCTGGCATGTCATGCCCATGGCCTCCCACTTCTGAAAATGTAAATGTCACTGAATCTCAAACTGTTGTCCCCATTGGACTATACAATCTGCTCAGCTGGATTATAGGTTCCACTGAGGAGCCAACACTGGATCATTATGTCAACATTGATGATGACGTACATTTGAAAGTGTTGTCTGTTTGTCAAGACATTGTGTACCTTGCTTCCAAGGGCCGCAAGCAGACACCCAAGTCCTTGGCTTTAGGTTTAACTGTTCGACATTTAACTGGATCATCACGCATTGTATCACTGCTTAACAGACTGGGACATTGTGCATCATGGGACACAGTTTTGAGTCTAGACACTAGCCTTGCCCAACTGACACTAGTAGAAGGCAGAGACAAAATACCGAAGGGATTCTCAAAGCGGACACCCACAACACTTGTGTGGGATAACATTGACTTTGGTGAGGAGACACTATCGGGTCGTGGAACTACTCACCATACAAATGGAATTATGCTCCAGAGTGTGCCCGGCGAGCCTATGTCCACAGCAATCAGACAGCCACTGAGAAAGGGAGTTACCTCATTCATAGCCCCCCCCCCCAATGCCTATACAACCTTACCATCAGTCCAAAAGGCAAGGGCCACAGAACTTGTGTCAACCAGTGCAGTCAGCGACATGCAGAATGGACACCCACTTTGCTGTACAAGCTGAAATGGCATATGCTTTTGTGAAGTCCACATGTACGGATAGTTGTACAATCCCAAGCCGGACAGGGTTCCATACACTGCTTCAGGATGAAAACACTCTGCAGAAGTCCGCATTGTATTATCTTCCAGTCATTGAAGCCTCACCAACAGAGATGTCAACAGTCAACACTATCCTGAAGCGAAGTGTCCAGATTGCTGACCAGCTAGAACTGGATCATATAGTTTTAGTGTTTGACCAGGCTATATATGCCAAAGCAGAGCAAATACGCTGGAAGGATGTTGAGTTTACAAAGCGTCTAGTGATTAGACTAGGTGAATTCCATACATGCATGTCCTACCTGAGTATTCTAGGCAAAAGGTTCGGAGATGCAGGACTGCAAGATATCCTCATTGAATCTGAAGTTGTTGCCCCAGGATCCATCAATGGGGTACTCAATGGCCATCACTACAATCGCAGCATGAGGGCTCATAAACTTCTATATGAGAGTCTGCAGCGCATCCGGTTTATCACCTTCATGGACTCCTTGCCACCCCAAGAGAGAGCTGCGTGCATGGATGTCATCACTGAGATGGAATGTGCCTTTCCAGACAGATTGATGGATGTTTTGAGTGCAGATCAGAGGTTTGATAATATGTGCTCGAAATATGCAGACTTTGTGCAGAGGAGGAGTACAGAGAATGCAACATTTGCTTTCTGGAGCTCATACATTGACATGATGCAGCTACTCCTCCTGTTTGTGAGAGCAACGCGAGAATCAAACTGGCAGCTTCACCTGTCAACCGTCCGGTTAATGATGCCATGGTTTTTTGCCTACGATAGAGTAAATGACGCTCGATATTTACCTGCATACTGGCTGGAAATGATGAATCTGCCTGTCACACATCCCTCTTGCCACAGTGACATGAATGTGAAAGGCCAGTGGACTGTCCAGCGACAAAGTGTTCATGGATTTGCCTCCATTGCTTGCGACCAGGCTATTGAGCAAACGCTTAACAGAGATGCCAAGACCAAAGGTGGCTGGACAGGGATCACACAAAATCGGTCTGCAGTGTATCGCTGGATACTGTCACAGCATGAAAGAGCCGCGATAGCAAGACAGTGTGAATTAATGGCAGGGATATCTCCTGAGCTACGGACAAGAAAAGACCTGGACAAGACACGCATCTCTGCTGATGCAAAGGCTGTGAGTAGAATCTTGGACACTATTGATTCCATGCTCAACCCTTTTGATGTACACCAAGACGGCATTGTGTGTCTTAGCTCTGGAAGAGTAGCAACAGGAGAAATCACAAAGGATTTGCTTGTTGCCTCAGAAAAGGGTGAAAATGCTGTAAAGGAGTTTATGGAGCAGAGACTGTTATCCAAAACAGTTGACATATTTGCCCCCATAATATCACAAAAACTCAAGACTCTCAGTGATCAGAAAAAGCCCCCCAAAAAATCTGCAGCAGGCAAGGAAGTGATTTTGCGTGCTGACAAGAAGTTATTTTCCAGGCTCCTCATCCTTGGCCAGAGCAGGACAATTGAAATGAGGGAAATTCTGTCATATTCCTTGGGAACTGTGTCATATCCATTAGCAAGTGCTGATGGTTCACTTGCCAAAACAAACAAATCAGCTCTCATGGATCTATTGCAGAGCAAAGGTGGAGAGTGCTTGGTTGACAAAGTTCCAATAGGTGGTGCCATTCTTTTTGATGGCATGGCAGTCATGCAGGCCATGCCATCCAGACCAGCAACATTTGGAGAGCTTGCAGAGACCATACTGCAGAGCATACTCCAACTTGCTTTGCATCACAAGTGTACACGCATTGATTTTGTCACTGACCGGTATCCACCCATCAGCATCAAAAGCCTAGAACGGTCCCGTAGAGCTGATGCAGGGTCACAACTAATAACAATCTTCAGCCCAGATCAGAGAACTCCAACCCAGTGGAAGAAGTTTCTCTCTGACGGAAAAAATAAGGAAGCACTGGCCGAATTCCTTTATGTGGCATGGACACATGCAGACCTCACAACAGTGGGTAAAAACCTCAGCTTGTACATTGCCCATCAAAATCAATGCCACTGTGTAACTGTCATGGAGGGTGTACAGTCTGTTGATGTTGTTGAAGACCTGCAGTGTGATCATGAGGAATGTGACACACGGGTGTTTTTACATGCCCAACATGCTGCACAGGAGCACAAAGCTGTCGTCATCTAGAGCTCTGACACTGATGTGGCAGTCATTGCTGTAAGTCTGCAGGCAGATTTGCCATGCAGCTTATATGTGTTCACAGGGACTGGCAACAGGACACGGATCATTGACATTGCCATGGTGTCATCAGCTCTCGGAACCAGTGTGTGTTCAGCCTTGATTGGAATTCACACGTTCTCTGGGTGTGACTCCACAAGCGCTTTCTATGGCAAAGGCAAAAGAAAGTCATTTGCTGTTGCATGTGAGAAAGATGACTACCTTAAGGCTTTCAGAAGTTTAGGTACTAACTTTGACTTGGAGCAATCAACATTTGCACTTCTTTGCCGGTATGTATGTCACCTGTATGATCAGCCAGCAGCCGAACATGTAAATGATGCTAGGTACAAGGCTTTCTGTATGGCATCATCGGCCTTGCCAGAATTAAGCATTCCCCCTACTCATGATGCCCTCCATCAGCACTGCAAAAGGGCAAATTACCAGGCAGCAATAATGAGGTCCTGTCTCAAAAGAGAAATGAATGCTCCATCACCTGCTGGATATGGTTGGGAAATAGAGGATGGGAACTTACACGTCACCTGGATGACAAGAAATCCTGCCCCTGACAGTGTGTTGCATGTGATACACTGCAGCTGCAAAGAGTCTGCCTGTGAGAAAGGCAGATGTTCATGCTTCTCTGCAGGACTCTGTTGCACAGACTTATGTCGTTGCTCAAATTGTGCAAATAAAAAAGAAACAGAGGAAGAGAACGATGACTGCCCTGACACTGACAGTGAGGAATAGGAATAAAAGAGCCTTCTTTCCATCTTTCTTAAGCTCTTTTCTGTTCTTTTGGTTTTAGTGCCTGGCCGACGCGCTCACACATCACTCATAGATACGTTTGTTTTTGGTACTAGAACAGAGTATAATCAGCAGGACTCTTTTAACCAGCTGAGGCAATCACAGCACCAATCAGCCGCTCCGCCCAGCCTGACACCAATCAATTATACTACATTACATGTCCTTCTACTGTTTTCTATGTCATACCTTTTATATTTGTAATAAATCTCGTTTTTATGGTTCATCAGTGTTGTTTTCATTTGTGGAGGGATGAATGAGTAAATAAATGAATCAATGGACATTGGTATAAGTAAGGCAAGGCAAGTTTATTTATATAGCACTTTTCAACACAAGGCCATTCAAAGTGTTTTACAAAAAATTAAAGACATTAAGAAAATGGCATTTAAAATCAGTCATTCAAAAGAAAAGCTAATAAAAGAAACATTAAAAGAAAAAATACATGGATAAAAGTTACAGTGCAGTCTAAGATATGAATAGTTCAATTAAAAGCAGCAACAAAAAGAAAAGTCTTCAGCCTGGAAGTACTGCATTTTATTGATCTAAATTACTTAACGTAACAAGTTAACCTTCTTCTTGGACGCAGAAATCAAGTCATGTTTATTTTAAGAGTGCATTTAACGTGTACAGGGTAACAACAGACAGACAAAAAGTCCTCAGTCTAATGGAATAATCCCAATGAACCTAGCGATGTGAACATGGCAGTCCAGGAATGATAGTTTGATAAATATGAGTTTGATATACTTTATTAATCCCCGTGGGAAAATTGTTTGTAGCTGGAGTTGGCTGATATCATCATCTTTTATTTAAAGAGACTCTTGGTCCATTATTACAAAAACATACAACACTCAAATATAAATGAAAAAAGGCAGTGGTACCAATGTTTCCACAGAGGTGACTGGTATCGTACAGCACTGAAACACGGATTTGACAGCAGCATAATGACAGAGTTATGAGAAACATTCAATCGACAGATGAATTTGTACATTCGATTTCTCAAAAGAGCATGGAACGTGTTGACTCGTGCGTTACAGAACATTTCACTTGCACTGCACCACCTTGGTTTTCTAAGCAGTATACGCAAACAGTCATTATATGCAACCTGGAGCTTCTTGAGGCTTGCCTTCTTATACTTGACCCACAAGGGGGCAGTATAGAGAGGAGTGCAATAAGCTCTAAAGAGGTTCACCTTAACCTTATCTGAACACCAAGAGAGTTTTCTAGCCAACATGTTGGCTTGCATATATAAGACACACCGCTGTCTATACATGTCATCATCATCAGCCATTTCATCTGTGATGACGTGTCCCAGATACTTAGTGTTACAGCAAACAGACAGCACCTGTCCTGACAGGTAGAATGTTGGAAAACAAAGGTTCTTATCCCCTTGTGCTCTGCAGATCATTACAGCGCTCTTCTTAGCATTGTATTTAACGTCAAATTTGACTCCGTAATCAGAACAAACATTTAGCAACTGTTGAAAACCAGCACTGCTAGGAGAAACAATAGCCAGATCATCGGCATACATAAGATGGTTTACAATCACATTACCAATCACACACCCTGTTTTACAGACACTTAAATCATCTGATAGATCATTCATATAGATATTAAAAAGGCATGGTGAGAGGAGCCCCCCCTGGCGGACTCCATTACCAACACCAAATGGCGCAGAGACTGCATTCCCCCATTTGATCCGCATGCTCTGGTTGGCATACCAATAAGCCAGGATCCTAATTATACTGTTAGGCACACCCCTTTGTCTCAATTTTAAAAACAGTTTATGGTGGTTAACTCGGTCAAAAGCCTTAGAGGCATCAATGAAACCAATCAGAACAGTGGAATTCTGTCTTCTATATGTTTCTACCATTTCCTTCAAAGCATAGATGCATAGCTCAGTACCATGCTTAGCCTTGAAGCCAAACTGGTTATCTGAGGTACATAAATAGGAACATAGTCTATCTAACAAAATTCTTTCCAAGACTTTGGATAACACACTGGCTAGAGCAATTGGTCTATAGTTATCC